AGGCTCCCTGCCTGCCTGCCCTGCCTCCGCGCTGCTTCGGGAAGAGGCTGGAACGTGGGGAAGGGGGGGTGCAGGGGTGTGTGTTGCTGTTGCTTCAGGCACCACCCCCAGCAGCTCCCATTGGCCGCGATTCCCCGTTCCCAGCCAATGGGAACTGCTGGGGGCGCTGCCTGAAGCAACAGCAACACACAGCCCCTCTGCTCCCCCCCTTCCCCACATTCCCGGCCTCTTCCCGGAGCAGCGCGGGGCAGGGCAGGCAGGGAGCCTGCCCTGTCCCCGGTGCACATCCGGCCGGAGCAGCTCTAGGTAAACACTGGGGGAGGGCGGGAGGGCCGTGAGGGGCTCGTGGGCCGCAGAAAATAACCCTGCGGGCCGCGTGTTTGAGACCCCTGCCTTAAACCAAGCTGTGGAATTTGGGCCTATGTAAAAAGTTTTTAACAGAAACTGTGGTTAAGATTTTACATACCCATTAAATGGATCATGGCCCTTTAATCAGCAAGTGCTTTGCTATATTCAGATCCGCAGCCCAGGATAATGCTGCAAGGGGGAAGGCTAGAGGGAAGGGGCAGTACGCACCTCAGAGCGAAGTGGCATCTCAGCTGAAGGAGAATAGCCCATGGAGATGAATCCAGCCTGAAACATAAGCTCTGAGAAGTGTGAACTGCCCCATTCACGTCACTGGATGTTCCCCCACACACACTGCTGGGGAGCCTGTGATATGCATCGAGCGTGCCTGTTCTCAGCTCCTCACCCCCTCTCAGGCCTAGTCGACACTATAGAGTTAGGTCGGCATAAGGTGGTTGATGTCAACCTAACCCTGTGAGCGTCTGCACTGAAATGTAGCTCCCGCCGATGTAAGTCGCCCACTGCAGCTACTTGCATTGCCTTGCCTGTTGGCTGTCAGCCCCGTGCGGGGGAAGGGGGCTTCAGCGGTCAGTGCCCCACAATGCCATTGGATGCGCTCCTGGTGAGGATGATGGACGGAGCTAGCGTGGCCGTGAAATGCCGCTTTAATTGCTGTGATGGCTGTACGGCGACTTAAGGTGGCAGTGTAGCCACCCCCCAAGCAGCGTGGTCCTGGTGCAGGGTCCCCATAGGCCTGTTCTCAGCTCCTCACCCCCTCTCAGGCCTAGTCGACACTATAGAGTTAGGTCGGCATAAGGCGGTTGATGTCAACCTAACCCTGTGAGCGTCTGCACTGAAATGTAGCTTCCAC